GCCTGCCCATTTCCTCCTATCGAAGCTATCTAATGGGTCTTTTAGAACCGGGTTACGTTTCCCTGTTGGCCAGGGGCTCCTCCTACAAAATGCTGTCGCTCTGTTTCCTGGCTCCTGCCAGGGGCCCAGTTCCCTCTTGCCCCTCAGAAGGGTCTTCAGGAACAGGTCCCGGCTCCTTCTCTGCTAGGGGTCTCACCAACCAAAAGCCTACCTCTTTGCTTTAATTGTAGTGGGGCGATCTGCTCTCGGCGTTGCGGCAGTCCCTGCTGTCTGCCGCCTCCTGCACCTCCCTGGTGCTCTCTGGTGCTCCCTGAGCCTGTGCTGCCCCGGTGCTCTGCTGCCCCGCCTGGGCCTCTGCAGGTGTACTACATTTTTTTATTGGATTATTTTATTGGATTATTTGGTGACCAATTTCTTGAGTTCTATGTACATTTTGGAGATCAGGGTTAGTGAGGATCTTTTCCCATTCTGTAGAAAAAACTCTTCATGAAGACCCAGTAATACCACTTTTGGGTATATATTCAAAGGATGTTCAATTGTACCACAAAGACATGTGCTCAACTGTGTTCATAGCTGCATTATTTGTCATAGACAGAACCTGGAAACATTTGGAATGCCCACGGAGGTCAGAAAAATCAGTAAAAGACCATAGGAGGGGGATTTCAACAGAGAGGAGATAAAATGCAGTGGTATAAGATTTACAGGGAAATAAAGAGGACAGGTTAAATTGGGAAAGGGATGGGAGGGATAAGTCACATTAAAGGCCTTCAGAAAAAAAATCACATGGAAACCTACTGCTGTAGAAGTTTCTGAACTACACACACACACACACACACACCTTTAGATGGAGGTACTCTATAACAGGGTGACAAAGCTCCTACTAGACACCATAGGCTAACAAAAAAACCCAGGGCTGGAAATTGGTTACCTCTTTTGAATTGTTGGCTTAGTGAGGTCCCAAAGACCACAAACACTACAGGCTATTGTTAATGTTCTTGGCTTCCCTCCAGAGCATGACGGTAAGAGCATAGATAATTGTTGAAGGTACTACAGACTTGAGTCAGAACATGGATGCGTCAAACTGCCACTAACCTGGAGAAGTTTCATCCCTGCTAGCTAGGGCTCATAGTGCTGAGAGGTGCTACACATTTAACAGAGGAGAAAAGAAATCATCAGTTTTACCTAGCTTTCAAATCTGAGCGCTACAATGATGACTGGCCTGGCCAGGCACTGATGGAACAAATGCCAAGGGTGTAACTAAGCAGTTTCTGATTGGATTTGAAGTCTGCTCTATGAGATGAAACCCATACCTGTCGCCATTCTCATGGCCAAGACCTGTGGATAGACAGATCATAGGCTCTATCTGAGAATTTAGAACTATTATTCTGTTTAATTTATATAGTATTAAACTATCTCCTAATGACTTATCCTTATAGTCAGAGATTAAAACATTTTTCAACTCTCATCAGAGAAGCTTCTTTCTCCAGTAGATGGTGATGGACACAGATCCACAACAGCTCAAGATGCAGAGAGTAACAAACTACGGAATGTTCAGCCATAAACAGAAAATCTACATCACACCTCCTCGGACTCCCAAGGTTCAGGAATCATTGTGAAAGAGGAGACAGAAAGACTGTAAGAGTCGGAGGCAGAGAATGACTATAAGGAAACAGTGTTGTCTGGACACAGAAAGGCAGTTCTATAACAAAACTTCAGAGTTGTGCCAACAGGCAAGTTCAAACCACCTAAAATTCCAGCATGGGAAAGGAGGTGGACACCAAGTCCCACAGCTAGAAGAACAGCTACTGGTAACTGATACCTGCTGGAGGAGAGGAATCAATTTTACTCAAGGATGTGGCCCCTCATAGGTCAACCATGCTTCTGTGGAAGGCCACATATCTGGGGCGATATGGGCAGCACAAATTTGACAAGGTGGGTTTTTTTTTTTTTTTTTTTAAAAAAAAAAGAGGCCATAAAGTTAGGTGGGCATGGGAGGGGCTAGAGCTTGGAGGAGCTGATGGAGGGGTGAATATAATTAAAACACAGTATACAAAATTTTCAAAGAACCAATGACAATTTACAGGAAAACATATTGTGGATGTTGTTAGGCCTATTGTTGGTGTGATTGCTTTGTTTCTTTAATTTCTAGATAGAATATTTAAATTTGCATACAGATATAGACAATTGACTACTGGTTTCTCTGGTTGGCACTTGTGAATCTTTCCAATTTAGAGAGTATCTTACTTACAGAAACTTTTCAAAAAATAGTGACTAGTTCTTCTCCCGAGTTCCTCTCTTCCTTTTCACGTGTCTTCATGTCTTGTTTTCTTTTTACTTCCACTCATATTCTTGGTTATTTGCTCTACTATATCTTCCAGATATCTATCTAGCCACATCAATCTTAGGAATAATTATTCCTTCTACTAAATGAATTGTTTTAGTAAATAATTTGAAAGCTTTTTTTTTAAAAGATAAGATCTCATTTCATTTCTTAGGCTGATGTATAACCTTGGGCTTATGGTGAAACTCCCTCCTCAGCCTCTCTAAACTCTGGAATTGCAGGTGCAAGCTACTATATACTGGGTTTATTTTGTCAAGTAACTATTACTTTTAAAAAACTTTCCTTATTCAGAATTTTTGTTATAACAATATATTTAGACATAGTGTTCTCCAGTAGAACTTTCCGAGGATATTTAGCTTTCACATTTTTGAATGTTTATTCTGCACCTTGCATTATCTCTGTGGCCTCTAAAGTGCATTCTGCTAATCTTGGTTTGTCTTTTTAATGCAACTAATATTCTTAAATATTACCGCTTGAATATTTATGAATATTTATGAATATTTATGAATGAAGGACTGAGAAATCAGTTGAAAGAACTGGTAAGAAATATTCTAAAAGTGCATATATTAATTTTCAACCAATAGGCTTCTTTCTTGCTCCCTAATATTTAAACTTTATATTAAATTTTTATTTTCATTGTAATAGAAATAACATCATACATCTATTGCAATTTGCCACTTGGCTTAATACATTTGTGAAATGTGGCAACACTGATGAACACATTACTTAAATAAATTTATTTTGTATTACTATTATCTTATTGTCCATTTTCCTCTAGGTGAACACTTGAGATCTTTATCATTTTTTAATTTTTTTCACAACTCATTTTTCACATTTAGAGTTATATTTAGGTCAAACTAAAATTTTATAAAAGTTAATTCTTTATAAAAGATTCAGTGGCAAGAGTCTTTAAGATAAATTGAAAAATGTGAAGTAAAGGTGAAAACGGCAGGCTGGGTTTTGTGGAACACACCTAAAGTCACAGCTATGCAGGAGTCTGAGAAAGCAGGATCCCAGGTTCAAGGCTTGCCTGAAAGCTGAGCATGGCACCTGAGCATGACTCTATGCCCTAGCAAATACGAAGAGTAGCTCAGTAGTGGAGCATGTTCCTAGCATGCATGAGACCCAGATTCCATCCCAGCTCCACAAAAAGAGAAGAGGGCTAAAAAGAGATCTTTGAAAAAAATAATAAAATGTACAAATGAAAGCTAAAATAACTAATAAATAAATAGATTCTTCCAACAAATAAAGAAACTTTTGATCTTGGCATTAATGTTCAGAAAAGTGATCTTTTCAAGGACACCGCTGTTCCTGCTGCTGTAACTCCTACGAAAACAGCCAAAGTCCCTGTGAGGGCCCACAGAAGTGCGTCCACTCCACTTTGGTTGAAGGTCTTGCTCTTTCAAAGCTATTAACAATAAGTCTGACTTAAGGAGTGGCTACAAACAAGATGTTCTGACCTAGGGTGTGGTTACTTGGTGTTTTGGATACTAAGATGGCCCGTGGATATGGATCTACTCCACCTTGACCTAAGGTCAGAGAATTCAAGCACATTTCTGCTTCTTCATTTTTAATTTTACCCAGGGAGTGGCTGCTTATAGGATATTTGATCTACGGTGTTGTTGCTGCACGTTCTGCCTAAAACATCAGAATGCTTAACTCAGGAAAACAGTGGCTTGATGTCTCAGGCAATAGTTGTGTTTGTTATTCGTGTCCTGTTAAAGCAGTCTTCCTTCTTCCCCCCTTTGGGTTGGGGAATATAAGCATGTGGAAAATAGTCATAGGCAGATTCAGCATTCACTGGGTTACCATAGGTCTTGACTATCATCCTATGTCTCTGTATTTCTCCCATATCTCTGTTCCTCTTGCCTAATATTTCTAATTCACACTCACCTACCCTAGAACTATGAACTCATCGAGGCAGGACCCAGACAGGTCCCCCAATTTGTCCTCTTTTTAAGCAACAGAAAATGCAATACAGTCAACTTTCCCATTGCCTCAAAGATAGGAGCAAACGTACATTGCTGTTACCTTTGCCTAGTTTCATGTGACATTTTCCAGGAAACCAGAAGAAAGAATGGCTGGAAATTGCTTTAGCATAAGTATTTAGCCTTCTTTTCCTACAAGATCAATCTGACCAAAAGTGAGTCCGTATAAACTAGGATGGTGCTGACACTATTCGAGGGCTTACAAATTCTAGAACAAAGAGATTTGCAACCACTGCTACCTTTGCATTTTCGATGCAGGGACAGAGTGCCCATGCTGCGCTGGCCTTCACATCTGGGTGTGGATTTTTGAGCAGGGACCACAACAGGCGAACTCCATCTAAGCGATCAATTATCCTGTGGAGAAGGCAAAAACCGTGGTGTGAACTATAATCAGTAAATGGGTGGGAAAATTCAAGTGGCTCCCTTAGCCACACAATTCTAGTTTCTTTCTGGGCATTCTACTGGGGTCTCTTTTGAGCAATCCTCCCAGAACAGTGGTATTTACACACAATTGACTGATGAAGCCCTCTGATTTTAGTTTCAATCTTCATGACCCGGAAAGCACCCTGCCTAACAATTATGATTCACATAAACTAGAATCAAGCCACACAATGTCTTAATCAGCTGTCCACAGACTGTTACCTCTATGTAAAAAGTACTGGTTCTGTCACATAATAGCATTTAAATACTCCCCAAAACAAACAGTTGTGCAGTTACCTTTTTATTTGGTCTGTGTTTAGTTGACGCACCTTATGTTATGACATACTTTAAACTCCTCCAGTCCTAACCTAAGCTTGGGAATTAAAATCATCACACCACAGTGCATCTTCTGTTGGGCACGCAGAACACATACGTTGTTTTCATGTACTCTCATTGCAGTAAGCCTCACACAGCAGACTGTGTTGTAATTACTTAAACATACTGTAATCAAAATAACTTCATGACTAGCTGAAAATGAGTTATCATCAGAACCATCTCTGCAGCATCTGTCTTCTGTTTATGTATCAATCAGTTCATGGAACATAACCTTGCAAAAATGTCTGCAGAGTGCTGGGGGTGGAGGGGAAGGCCAAACAAACCTTAATACCCGTCACAAACACTGCTTTGTTCATAAAGATGCATTAAATGCAAAGCAGATGAAGAAAGATAAGGACCATCATAATTCCCTTGACTTTTCATCTCCGGTTCAGTTGAATACATGTAGTATTTAGCCCCGAGTAGAGTAAATTCTACTGGCTTTTAAAATGCCATTCAAATTCCTCCTTTATAATTGACATTTTAAGAAATTTATAGTTCTTGATTATTTGAGATGAGTTTTCCAGAGGAAACTATGCATTACCCAGCATTCCCAGGTAGTTATGGGCAGCTTTGTGAAATGCTAACAGCGTATAGCAACATAGACTGGCTGTTAAGAAAATAATTCTTCCCATTACAGAGATTGCTCAGCACTGAAGAACCCTTGATGCTCTTCCAGAGGACTCAAGGTCAGTTCCCAGCACTCATGCTAGGTGACTCACAATTTCCTGCCTGTAATTCCAGCTCCGGCAGATCCAATACTCTACTCAGGAACATACCAACCCACAGACACAAAGGAGGAATACATGCATTTTTTTTGGAAAAAGTTAATTAAAATTTAAAGTAAATAAAATGAGGAGGAAAGCAATCTGGGAAGACACTCGATGTCAGCCTCTAGCCTCCAAATGCACACTCACATGTGCACACACAGGAACATATACATATACTATACAAATGCATGTATGTGCATTTACACATACTTACTCATAGGAAGACATCATTTTTCCCCCAGAAAAAACTTTACAATTAGCTACAAAAATTCACTATTTTCCTCCATAGCCTCAGAAATTTATCAGCTGCTTCATCATAAGGAGTAAGTGTTGTGGTCCATTACTAAGGTCTTAAAAGACTCAGAAGCAGGGGAGTGACAGCAGGGAATGAGGAAAATATTTGCATGCATGGCGGCTGGCTCAGGAGAAGCGAACTCTAAAAGTCCACTCTATCCTCCCCTGCTGCGCCTTAGCATGAACCGCTCATTCCCAGCAACCTGCTGTGCCTGACACCGAGAGCAGCATGGTCTCTTAGCCACCAAGCTATCTCTCCAGCCCTCTAACCTTGATTTATAAATAGGAATTCATGAACACAGACTCTGCAGATAAGAACTAGCTGCGTGTTAATTGTCCATCAGAGAAGCACAGTCTAGTGAAGAACTAGGGACCACTGCTGTACCAAATGTGTGCTTATGTACCAAGTGAAGAAAGACAATGCTATGTTCCGGGTCACAGGAAAGTTACTCTCCAACAACAGAGCCAGTGTGAGCTGGTGTCCAAGGCCCATGAGTCAGACGTGGAAGGCTGAAGTAGAAAGATCTGGAGTTCCAGTACTGTCCCCACACAAACATAGGAAAGTAAAACAATACAAACAAACGAACAAAATCCCCTTTTACAGGCTTCCTGGATTCCTGTTAAGCTTTTGGTAGGAATCAGCACCCCCTCCTTTTCTGTAACTCCAGCACAGTGTTTTGCCCATAGTGATGTGTTTTCTCCTTAAGTACTAGGTGACCTCCCTGATGAGGCATTCTAGACAGCCTGCCATGCACAGGGCTGTGTCTACAGCTGAGAACACTGGTTACGCAGATCTGAAACAAGACAGTCTTTGCTCATTTCTTTCTTTTTTTTCAGTAAACCAGAAGTCTCTCCCAACACCCATGCATTCCTTCAAAACCCTCACCCTCACAGAGCACATGGCTCCATCCTAATCAGAAGTGTTTGTATTTGAAATTGTCTCTAGATTGAGCACATGTTTATGCAGAGCTGCTTTGCAAGTTTATTGCTTCTTGTGGAGCAGTGGTGGCGGCATAGGTGATAGTAATTTCAATAACCACCCACTTTCCACGCACACCCCCTTTTGTAGCTCTTAAATTTGACTGCCAACTTGCTTTGAATTCACTTCCAGTGGGCTAGTTCTCCTCAAATTCATATCAAGGGAATATTGTCTTTATCACTTGAAATCATAAAGCAAGCCTGACTTTTGCCTTTCCAAGATTGTCTACTTTACCATGGAGATCCAACTGTTGGCAGAATAACAGCTCTAGGGCAATGACTAGATTTTGATTTTTGGCTTTTTTCTTTTTTAAAAAATTAATAGTAATACTGAGTTTGGTGGGACCACTTGAAGCTCCAGTACTTGGGAGATGAAGGCAAGAGGATTATGTTCAAGATCATTTTCCACTACCTAGAACACGAGACCAGCCTGAAGTACACAGGATCCTGTATCAATCCACCCCCAGCAAAAATGGACAGAAAATGCCCAAATTAGAAAAAGATGCAGCTGCTTCTGTCTTCCAGCCTCCTGTGTTGCATTAACACTACCAGGACTGGAAGATATCTGGCTGGCTTCCGTGCCCACCAAGGCCACAGATATAAACAACTAGTTTTGCATCGTGGGGCATGGGCAAGGCTATTGGTTCTTTCTGGGAAAACCAATGTATTTTGAAATCATAATGCTGCACGCTTTGTAAAAATGTCACAGCAACAGATGCTTCGTCATCCGGTCTCCAAAGCTAAGCTCATGGTTCAGTTCTGCTGGCGACCCTCAGAGCTCCCTGCAGTACAGGTGTGTCACCCTGACAGGTGTTCTCCCGATAGTCCCTCTGTATTGTGTAGCACTGGCATTTTATAATTCTCATCTAGCAGAATTATTTTATTGGAAATTGCGAAATAGAGGCTTTTCCCAGTTTTTCAGTCTGAGCAGCTGACATTCCATAGTTTCCCCTCATCAACTACAGCTTCCTCAAGTTCCCCAAGATAAAAGGTATTTCATCCTTCTGTTTTAGGGCCAATTGTGACTACTGCTTCAAGCTGACAAACTCTCTTCCTTCTTAATTGTCCTTTATTATGTACAATTCATGTTATTAAATCTGCCACTTGTTTATTTTGTGATTTTAATCTTTAGCATATCTTCAGAATAGACTTCCATGCCTCCAAACAATAAAATAATATTTTGCATTTGTATATCTTACTCTACCCATAATCTGTTAATTACTTCAATTTTCTTTAAGCATCTATTTCCCCTACAGAAAAAATAATTGATTTTATCCTAAAATTTAATAGATAGATATATAGACAGTTTCAGCTGTATAAATACATACAAAACCATATATATATAATGTAATATATGGCTTATCTATTGATTATTTATACCTCTGCCAGGACTGTGTGGGGTTTATTTAATTGTACATGTAGGAACTCTAAAACCTACTGAATATGTATTTCTTATTCTTGTTGCCTAGGTATTTGTATAATTAAAGTCTCTGCATCAACCCCCCCCCATGTGCATAAAGAATAAATAGGAATACCAGGTTAGAAAACACTAATTATTAGAAGTAAAGAATTCATGTGATGGGGTACACAAACTGGACATGGCAAACAAAAAGCACTATGAACTTACAGATCATTAAAGAAATCCACACTGAAAACCAAAGAGAAAAAGTAGACAAGAAGTGAGGGAGAAGAAAGAAACAGAAGTCAGATGCCTGGGGATGATATTGAAAAGACAATAGATGTATAATTGGAGTAGCAAGGAATGAAGAAAAAAGGATATTAGTGAAAGCAATAACTGAAATTGTTCTAAAATTGACAGAGGACATCAATTCACAGGTTCAAAGATTTCAGTAAACTTAAACAGGAAAAAAAATTATTGTTAAAAAACCACATCTGTGCACACATATTCAAATTATTAAAATTCAGTCTTGAAATTAACAGAGAAACAGGATATGCCTGAGTCCAACCAGGCTGAAGCAGACTGTGAGAAGCAGGGCTGGCCAGTAAATAGCATTTATTCCCCCAGCTCTGAAGGTTAGGAAAGTCAAACATAAATGCTCTAGCAGATTGGTACTCAGTGAGAGCCGACTGCTTGGCTTATAGAAGCTGTCTCCTTCTGTGTCTTCACATTGCACAAAGAGGTAAGGGATCTTTATTGGGGTTTCTGAAAGAGGCTCCATTCCATTCATGAATCCTCTCAACTTAAGACTTAATTACTTTCCAAGTCCCACTACCAAATACCCTCCCACTGAGAATTAGTTGTCAACATTTGAATTTTGGTGGGACACAAACATTAATTCTGAGGACATCAGGCATAAAGAACTATGATACTCATGAAAGCTGAGTTACTAACAGAAGAAGGACAAGACATCAGGATGACATTTATAAGATATGAAAAAAATTACAGAGTTAGACTTCTGTATCCAATGAAAAATATCCTCAAACTGACAGTAAAACTTCTCACTCTTGCCCAAGTTATACAGCCATCATGTGAGGCAAAGCAAGCAGTCATCTAGA